GTTTAAAAACCTGGAACGCATGCTCAATATCATACTGCGTTTGAATTCATAAAATCCTACTTTTGAAAAACTTTATTTTCAATTAAAAAATAACTAATACTCTGTCACTTGTGTGCTAGACTGCTAAACCAAAAGTCTTGAGTTCGAATTCGTGTTCAAGTCAGTAGAGTACGCCCAGCTCATAAAAGTACCTAACTCACGATAGGAAAAAGTAAAGCGGCTGTACATAGTGCTGACTACACTATCTCTTCAAATGTCGAGCTCACCGAAGCAGATGAACTCTACTTCATCTGCCTCATGTGTCTTTGGCACGAGCGAAAAAAAATGGCGAAGGCAGAAAAAAAGAAAGAAAACTAATATTTTCGTCGGCCTACACAATACTTTTTGTAAAATAACTATATTGAAAATATTTTAACGAGAGTACCATTAGATTGTTAAGGACGTCCACATTGGATGTTGTGGAAGTGAATTTGTCAAAACAACCGCACGCCAACAGTGGCAGATCGGTCTGATGTTACTTTTTTCAGTGATGGATGTCCTGCGCCATATTTAATGCATTATTTTCTTTACGTCTTATTGTTTTATTATAACGATAACTAAATTTCCATGGAGCTTAACTTTAGCTGGACATAACAACACTTCTTTTCTGCCCTATTCGCCTTATCTACATGGGGCTACTTTTTGGCTCTAACGATTGTAATATAATATCCCTTAGTTACAGTCTTGGGACATGACCTTGACCTAAAACCGTGGTCCTGAAAATGTGACCCTCTCATGACAGCAATGCGTCAACACAATTTTGGCTTCGCCTCAAAAACGTGACAATTTTTCTCCCAATAGAATCAAAAAACTTACTCAAAAAATAATTTTAAAATTAAACTTACATAAAATCTAAATGCCCGACATTTTATGTTAACCTAGTCCCAACGGAGCGGGACATAAATTAGTGGCAATTAAAATTATTGAATAGCATTCACCACTCGAAAGTTATTTGCTTGAACAGATCGTATTTGAAAAAAAAAAGTATTTAAATGTTAGATTCTTTGTCTTCTGATTTATTGACTGACATTTTTAATCACATTAGTTAAATACTCAACAAAGTACCCCCTCAGAGTTTTATTTGTATGTGTATTCAATACGTTTGTCTGAGAGACGCGAAGTATTATTTGGGTCATGTCAATGATATAGCGGATCATTCAAGCGTTTCAACGAAACAGGATTTTAGCAGTGATCGGCCTACCGGAGTTTGAATACTTTGAATAATTTGTTTCGGTTATAAAAAGAATTTCTTTGAACAAATTTTTTAATTGAAATTATTAAAATGAAATAAAAATTCATGTCGTAAATATTGAACCTTTACTCTAACCTCGTTTTGATTCAAGTGCAATTTAATCTCTTTCAAAATAAATGTAAATATTTCTTGTAGTTCTATTTCAATGTAAGGTGGACATAAAAGTGTAATTAAAATTTAGCTACAGAAATCTAATACTTGAAAGCCACTTGCTGTGCGCTCGCTCTACAGCTCTGATACATCCGAAACGTGACGGTGTGGTCGAATGGTAGGGCACTTGACTGCTAACCTGAAAGTCTCGAACTTATGTAAGGGAATAAAAAGCCGGCTGGGCATAATGCTGACCTTTCTATCCCTTTGTATCCCTTTACATTTTCTTTACGTTCAAAATGACCTTGTTAAAATACACAATTCTTTAAATGGCATAGTTTTCGACAGTTATTTTAAATATGACTAATACATAACACTGCTTGGGAATGGTCGAATAATAGATCGTATGATCAGTGTATACAATATTAAACTAAGTTCAGGAGCTAATATTTTGTTTATCTAATTTAAACGATATTCATGTAAAATGGTATCTATTTATTCTGTTCACTTACACAACGGTAAGCACACTCACATATAAGCTCACACACTGACGAGATTGCAACATCAAATTTTTTTTACGACAGAGGGGTGTAAAGTGTCGAGAATTTTTGCACAACTAAAAGACTTCCTCTTTGAAAGTTATTGGAGAAAGTAATAACAGGTATTACTTTCTCGTAAAAATAGTATTGAGAAAATATTGTAATCATGCAGAAACTTCTAATAATTTTCGTCGTCTTACACTTCCCCACAGTCTCTATTAATTATTTTCTATAATGTATTTTATTTTCCCCCGTAAACAGTAGCATGACATTGACGGTAAATCAGAACACTTATGTTCTATTATATTGGCCTTAGCTACCTGATTTATGAGACTAATTTCTGGCACACATATCGTACTTCTAACGTAAGGTGTCTTTAATTTTGTTACGGTCATGGGAGATAACTTCAACCTAAAAAACTTGGCCCGCAAAACTTGACGCTCTCATGACAGCTGTTTGTATACATAATTTTCGCTTAGACCCATAAATATTTACAAGACCTCCCTTTAGAATCAAACGGGTGCTTTAAAAAAATTTAGATATAAAACTCACATAAAACTCGCCAATTCTATACAGTGCGCGACATAAATTACTGGCATTAATCTATTGAATCGCATCAACCTTTCGAAAGTTGTTTGCGTGAAAAGATCGTATTTGAATTTTAAGTACTCTACCGTTTGATTTATTCATAATGTAACAAAAGCTACACGGAAATTTTAAATGTATTTTATTCCATTACAACATACCCCCGCAGAGGTTTTTATTTACGTGGTAATACCGGGTTTGGCTGAAAGAATATTAATCACTCGGTCATGTCATTGATATCGAACATCCTGTTTTTAAAAACATTCAGTCGAAACCGGATTCTCTGCAGGTGCACTTTCGATACGTTATTTCAGTTCTAAGAAGCCTCTCCTCCAGTGTTTCTTTCAGACTTTTTTCTCCGAAGGCACTTACAATTTTCGGGGAGGGGGGGGGGGTGGAGCAGAGTCTTTACACCCCAATGCAATATGGATTCTAAAAGCTTACACACTAAGTTCTAGGTTGAGCCAGTCTACAGACTAGAAGTGTATCAAATTCCTTTTTTTTTAAAGTAGCACGTTCGTTTAATGTGCAGACATTACGTAATAGAACGACTTTTTAATTAAGATAAAACAATACAACAACCGCAAAGCTTCATATTATGACCCAGTCATAAACATTATTCTAAGAATATTGTTCAGAACGTTAAAGATTACTGAATTTCTCAATAATGTAATTCATGAACTTTATTAAACGTTTGATAAATGTGAAAATGCTTTCATTTTTTTACTTTCTCGTATATACGAAGTATAGAGAAAGTATTGTAATCGTGCAAAAAAAAATCGAGATTTTTACAAATCTCGACGTTTTACACCTCACTGATACGGAAAAACATAATTTTGCAATCTTGTCCGTATGTCTGTGTGTCTGTGTGTGTGTGTCTGTCTGTCTGTCCGTGTGTAAACACGATTACTTGAGAACCGTTACAGCTAGGTTGATGAAATTTCATATATAAGTATTTTATCAAAATCGTAGATCCGTATCAACTTTTGAGCGATTTCCGATAACCGGAAGTGGTACTTTTCCTACTTTGAATTTTTCAAAAGCCTATAACTTGAGTACTATTTCAGATAGATAAATGAAATTTTACATGTAAGTAAAAGATCAAATTCTCTACCTTCTGTTAAATTTTGAGTAATTTCCGTTGACCGGAAGTAGTAATTTACGCTACTTCTGATTTCTCAAAAAACTAATGTAAATTCTTAAAGTACTAATAATATTGCGCACTATTATGCGCTTTTTTTATTTGGCGTTCACTTGGTGTGTAATTAATTTGTCTACGAGATTTTATTCTATTTTTAAAACTTTAAGAATTTAAAATGGATTAAAAATCATGTCTATAGCCCGAGTTCCCATCCCCTGTTATTTTATATAAGAATATTCGAGAAAGTTTAGGGGAGATCACTCCCGGTTTATTTTTTTAATTTTTAATATCTTGATTACAGAGTAGGCCTTTAGAGAAAGTGTATTAATCTTGCACACAACTAAAACGGGACTTTGACAGCTTTTACACCGCGCTACTTTTTTGTACACGGGATTAAAAAGGATATATCGTAATAATGCTAAAAGCTAATTCGATATTTTGACACATTTTGACATTTTACATCCACTACGGACCAGTGTAGTCTTAGTTTTTCAATTTGTTTTTCAGTCTGTGTTTTTCAGTTAAGTTGACGCAATTGTGTATATAAGTATTATATAGGGGGGGGGGGGTCGGCGTGGTCGAGTCAGTAAAGCTCAAGGTAGCTAAACCGAAAAGTCTTGAGTTCGAACCCTCGGGCAAAAGAGACTCGTTAGCTGGGGACATCCATTCTTCTATGAGAGACAGCTCCAAAATCAAACAACTGCTGCCTTGTAGTTTGTTCTTGTTTGGACAAAGTCTATATAAGCAAATCCAAAAAGAAAAGCAGGCTGAAATCGGACTCAAAGGCGCATAACCAGTTGACACGTATACTTAATTGTGTTGCAGGCGATCCCTCCCAACACTAAAATTAAGAACGAAGAAGAAGAAAGAAGTATTATATCAAATTGTATTTTTCTTTTAACTTTCATGTGATTTTCGGTAAGTGGGTTTAAGTTATGCCACAACCCACACACAAAAAAATACAGCGTGAAATGAATTTAAGTTCATAAATCCAAGGGTTTACTTTTCTTAAATAATCTTTCTTAAACATGTTTTTTTCTGGCACTCAGATTTTACAATAGAGCTTCTAGCATCTATTCTTTCATAAGATAGTGCATTAGCAAAATAGGTTTTCAATCGACCGTCCAATCGGGTCATGTCATTTCGGACAAACGACCTTTAGACAATTGTCTCTATCGGACAATCGTCTTAGATATCGTCAAGTATAAAAAAAAACTATTGCAATACCTCTGACGTTTTTCATTTTTTGCTATTACCAAAACCTACCCTTACTCTCATTCTCACCAGGACGAATCCGGTACCAGTATTTATGATAATACAAAACCTTCAAATTGAAATTTTCTTTTAAGTGAAGGCTTGGAATGCTGTTCACCGGATATGTATGACCGCGTCAATTCAAACTTAATCATTCGATCACCTAACCTAAGCAGTCAAGTCTACGACCGCTGATCTTTTCACAGCAAGGAAGAAAGCGGGTTATTTTTCTGTAAGGGATTTTATTTCTATTTACCATTTATTTTTTGTTTGCCGAAGATGATATTATAAATTTTGATGCATTGTATTTATGGGGACTTATTTTTATTATTTGTAGAAGCGTCAACTGTTCCTACAGTTTTTTTTACCTTCTATCGATACGTAAACATGTTTTTTTTTCATCTCATTGTGTTTGTTTGTTTTTTTTTTACTTTGTTTTTACTCAAATAATATTTCGGCATTTTTTGCAGTTTTACACATACCTACTTTACCGAATATGAATTTAAAGTTGTGGTGCAAAAATTTTAATTAAACCTTTGATAAACTTAGATGTATTACAATCACTTCCAGAAGTGATTTGAAATTTTGTCTGTTGGTGTTTATATAAAAAATAATAGGCTACTATTTTAGTTAGGTTGACGAAATTTAATAAATATAACAAATTAGTAGTTTTCGATCAAATTTTGATTGTTTTCAGGTACTTATTCTACTTCCAGTTTCCCAAAACTAGAGTACCGATTAGGTGAGGTGGTCGAAATTTCACATATAAATATTGAATTGTACTCGCATGTCATTGTCAATATGTGAACGATTTCCGATAAGCGGAAGTGGTATTTCAAGAAAATTTCATCTATTAGGATCATATTATTTTTAATTTTTGTAGTGACCTCCGAAATCTGGAAATGCTACTTTTATTCCGTTTTATAAATATCGATAATTTGAGTACCCTTTCAGTTAGGTAGGCCTACACAAAATGGCATATTTAGGGATAAGATCAAAGTCCCGTAGATATAAGAATAAGATAATTTTAATAACTTTTTTGATTCGCAATTATTTTTTTCGTCCCAATTCTATACTACATAAAGTGTGTATAATAGATCGAAAAATAGTATTTTGAACATACACATACACATACACATACACATACACATACACATACACATACACATACACATACACATACACATACACATACACATACACATACACATACACATACACATACACATACACATACACATACACATACACATACACATACACATACACATACACATACACATACACATACACATACACATACACATACACATACACATACACATACACATACACATACACATACACATACACATACACATACACATACACATACACATACACATACACATACACATACACATACACATACACATACACATACACATACACATACACATACACATACACATACACATACACATACACATACACATACACATACACATACACATACACATACACATACACATACACATACACATACACATACACATACACATACACATACACATACACATACACATACACATACACATACACATACACATACACATACACATACACATACACATACACATACACATACACATACACATACACATACACATACACATACACATACACATACACATACACATACACATACACATACACATACACATACACATACACATACACATACACATACACATACACATACACATACACATACACATACACATGCACATGCACATGCACATACACATACACATACACATACACACATTTTAAAAAATGTGTTCTGGTTTAGTTTATTGTGGCCTGTTCTGAGTCTGAAAATTGTGTTGTTCTTGACCTATTACTTTGTAAAATCCGCCCTCTTGTTAAGGTTTTTATGTGTCAGACTACAATTGGAATCGTATGCTTCAAGATTATTTTTTATTTCTTTTGGATATGGGAAATATCTGCCAGTTAGTCCGCAATTTTTATTTCTGCTTTCTGTCCCTGGATCCACAGCATTCCAGTCAAAGAATTTGTGTGGTTCTGATCTTTAGTGAGCTTGCAATCGCAAACAAAATCCCTTGAAATTAGAAATGTCGCGATAAGAAAATAGATTAACTGCATTAAAGTTAAGTTTACACAACCACACCAGAATAAGTACAAAGATTGAGACTTAAGCGATTTCGCAGCTTCAAAAGCATTACTTTTTGGTTCTTAACAAGTGACAAGTTACTAAAATACAATACGTGTAAATTTTGAATGATGTGTTGAAGAGATCTATTTTAGATTGCTGAAATATACTCATTTTATTGCTTACGCCCGCGTAAACAATATATCATAATTTATCATATTCATGTTTAAATGTATCAATTTAGAAAAAGTATTTCAAATTTCTTCTTGAACTGAGAAATACAATATGTAAAAGATATACCTTTCAGACAAAAGATTTGTTTGCATGTGAAACCCTGTAAATATTTTTTTTGAAATCCATTTCAGCTACAAATGGATGTTCATTCCGATTTGGACCTTATAATAATAGGTAAAACTGGGAATGGAAAAAGTGCTACCGGAAATTCAATTTTGAGAAAACCCGATGTGTTTGAAAGCGCATACAACACAACTTCCATAACTGTCACTCCACAAACAAGTTTCACGACTTTTAATGATCGAGTCATAAGAGTAGTTGACTGCCCAGGTGTTTTAGACACGGATATTGATGAAACTGGTGCAGTAGATCTTGTTAAAGAAGCTTTACAAAACGCTGTTTTAGCCAACCCATTAGGTTATCACGCTTTCCTTATTGTAGTCAAGTTTGCTCAACGTTTTACCAAGGAAGAACAAGATTCTATTAAAATTCTCAAGAGCATTTTGGGAGAAAATGTCATCAAAACGCACGGTATTGTTGTAATGTGCAATGCAGATACTTTTGCACATTTTTCAAAAACTCAAGGACTAACCCTTGATACATTCTGTAAAGAGCAAAGGGGCCAATTTAAAAAGCTTTTAAATGACTGCAATAACAGAATTGTTTTGTTTAATAATATAACAGAAGATGAATTCATTAAAAACGAGCAATTAGAGAACTTAATAAAAACTGTAGACGGGCTAAGTTCCAATGCAGTTAGATATACTACAGATGATTTTAATAAAGCTAAAACTTTAAGAGAAACTATCACGCCAGAAACTTATAGTTTAATTGCTCAAAGTTTAATATTGAAAAAATTATGCAATATTAAAAATGATGATTCCATTGAACACAAAATTGAGTTACTGAATAAACTAAAAAAAAGTAGTGATATATTATTATCAGAGCTTCAAAGAAACTGCAGAACTTCAACCGCAATGGGTGAATTTACTAAAAATGTTGATGGAACAAACACATATATTACTAAGCTTATAAGCGCTCTACAAGATCAAATACAAACAAACAGTGCTAAAGATAAAAAACAACCTAAAGCATCGTTACCGTTTAAGAAAACTCGAGTCTCGGCGTCTGCTTACAACACCAAATCTGACCAAGTACAAAAGGATCAACAGAATACAATAAAAAATAATTGTACAGAGACAACCGACAAGGAGCTGCATGATCTAGAAGAAAAGTTTCAAAACATTCAGCGTGAACTTGACAGAGGATTTTTCCACAAGTGTTTAACACATATTAGAAAATATGGTAGCACTTTGTTTGACATATCCAGAGACAAACTAAAATAATTATTGTAAATTAAATGTTTAGAGTGCTTCTGATTTGTAAAAAGAAACATTTTTATTTTCATTTCTTTCACTTTTCGTTCATCTCCAATAACATAACAAATATAACAATGTATAATCTAAACCTTATTTTTTCTTCGTATTATTACATTGTATTATTTGATAACCAATTGATGTATAAATTATGATAATATAATTAATAACATACGTTTTTGTCTTTTTCTAAAAATGTTGTATATATGTTTTGTCATGTATTTCTTTAGTAGCTCGTAACGTCTAGTAAATTTATGGCGTCACCAAAATAGGCAATACATTATTAATTTCTATTTCAGGAAATAATGGCGCAAGCAGCTAAGCCTCGCACCACTGGTTTAGACCTAATTCTAATAGGTAAAACTGGAAATGGCAAAAGCTCAACCGGCAATTTTATTTTAAGAAGGGCCAATATTTTTAAGCCCAGTTATAATACAACGTCTGGCACAAAAATACCACAGTTTGAATGGACTATATTTGAGGGCAGAATTTTACAAGTCGTTGACTCACCTGGTGTGTTGGATACATGTGAGGATGAAGAAAGGGGAATAACTCTAGTACACGACGCTTTACAGAAAGCAATGTTGGCTAACCCAACAGGTTATCATGCGTTTCTTGTTGTTCTAAAGTTTGCTTCGCGTTTTACTAAAGAGGAACAAACGACTGTAGAAATTCTAAAAGGAATCTTGGGTAAAAATTTCCTTAAAGACTATGGTATTATCGTTATGACAAACGGAGATACTTTTGAACATGATTGTCAAAAGAATAAAACATTGAATCTTCAAAGGTTTTGTCAAGACCAGAAAGGTCCGTTTAAGAGTATTTTGAAAGAATGTAGTAACAGAATAGTTGTTTTTAACAACATGACCGTAGATGAGGATGTGAAATACAAACAAGTTAAACAACTAATTGATATGGTTGATAAACTGAAAAATCAGCGTCGAAGATATACTAATGAACATTTTGCCAAGGCTGATCAATTTTACCAACACTTTATGGTAAAAATTTCAGGAACAGTTGTAACCAAAGAAGTTTTGCAAGAACAGAGTCTGATAATGCACGCTATCAATTCTTGTGAAATTTTATCGAACGAAGAGGAGAAAATCGAATCATTGAAATGTCTTTTGATAAGAAATGAAAAATTAATAAACTGTCTGAAAGAAACAGATAAAGGAACTGGTGCATTAAAAGAGTTTATCACAAACGCAACAAATACAAAGCATTTGTTAGATGCTAGAATTGCATTGCAAGCTGACTTTATTCAAAAGCTAAAAAGCATTAAAATGATGGAGGATAAACAAATCCACGATTTTGAAAGGCAAGAGAAGCAGCTAAGAGAAGAAGAGCACAAAACTGAGGAAAACAGAAAGAAATTGCAGTGGGAAGCAACACTAAGTTTTTTCGAAAAGATAGATTTTGTTGTTAAGGCGTTTGGTAATTTTTTAATTGGTACAGCAACAGCAGTTACTCAATTTTTAAAAAATCAAATATAATAGAAGACAATATTCAGTTTTCTTGGTTAAATCTCCTAAATCAAATGTGTTAGCATATATATATATATATATATATATATATATATATATATATATATATATATATATATATATATATATATATATATATATACAATCCACCTCCCAACACATTTCAAATTTATTCTTTTTCTTCTTAGTTTTCAGTTGTATATGAATAACTTCCACAGCCCCGCTTATATACAAATATGTACACACACACACACCAAATAAATCACGCCCATATCAATAAACTCCATGGTAACCACCTTCCCCCCTCAACTCATTCTTAAATAACTTTTATACATGATATTGATAAAGAGAGAAAATCAGCATCCATTCTATATAATGCCTATAATGGATTTCTTGAGTTTAAAATTAATAATGCTTTGTACTTTCAGCTAGCTTTTTATAACAAACGAAAGACACCAACAAAAGAGCAGAAGAGATGTATTTCAATAAGAACATCAACACATCTAACATTATATCTAGGATCCTAACCCGATCCCCATCCTTAAAACGACTCCTATTCCTATTCTTAATTTTAGTATACAATTTGTAACTAGTTTAAGTGTATATATTTTCTACAAATTACTCCGCCTAAGTTAGATTTAGTTAGAATAAACTTCTTAATGTTTATTGAATTGTTGGAATGTGCATTATTTTAATAAAATGATTTTTTTGTGAATAAGATGAAGTTCTTGGTAGACTAGAATGCCATTCAATTTTCATAAATTGTTATTCCTATTTTCTGTAAAAGATGAACATTAATAGTTTCTGTAATTGGTCATTTAAGCTACATTAAATATTGTTGGGTTTAACATTTTAAATTAAAAAAGAGTGTGCTGTTTTCTAATTATCTTCCTTATCAATGCTATTTCACAAATATATTTTCAAATGTGGTCGCACTTATTTAAGGGTAGACCGACTCGGGTTGAACATGTGGGCGACATGTGACTGAAGTGTTGTTTGCTTAAAGAATGTTGGTTATACTAAAATTCCAAAACTTTTTTTTAAATCATAAAAACACTCATCCCTCATATTTCAAATTGTTTTAATTATTAACAAAACACTTGCAATTCGGGTGCAGATCTGTTTTCCGATGTAGAGTGCTGCTACTTTTCTAACGGTGGTCGGGGAGGGGTCTGATTGCTACATCACGTAGACAGAAATTGGTCATGGGAGGGGTTCAAAAATGTTTATATATGTATATATATATATATATATATATATATATATATATATATATATATATATATATATATATATATATATATATATATATTATATATTATATATTACATATATATATATATATATATATATATGACTACCGGTATATATATATATATATATATATATATATATATATGACTATATATATATATACGGGTCGGGGTCCATGGGAGGGGTTATAACCCCCCCCTAACCCCCCCCCTTTCCTACGCCTCTGAAGGGAAGGTGATGGGGAGTGGAAATGTAAAAAAAATAAATAGTAACTTCGTTTATACACGACCCATTAGGTCTAGGTTTTAAGATAAGTGTAATATGCTTTCCATTCAATATTCAATTGTATTATTAAATAAGCGCCCAGTATTTTGCTATTAAATAGGCCCGACTAATCGAGTATTAAACTGAGTGCTGAAAGCACACAATAAAAACCTTTTTTTTAACAATGCCACTATCGGGGTGCACAAAAACATTATTTTGCAATTAAAAAATATTTATTTTTGTTTTGGAATATCTACCCCCTAAATGGCCTTCTTCCCCCCCCCCCCTCCTCCACCATTACTGCGCGTCTCGGGGCATGGTTGTGGACGATTTGTTGTGTTGGCTAATATATTAGGATACATTTGATTTTCGGAAATCATCTGGGTCATTTGAGTTAAATTAATCGCTTGATATTTGTTATTTGCTAAATGTATACATATAAAATTATTGTTTAGATTAGTATTAATAATATGTTTAGTTTCAGGGTTAAATTGTAGTTACCTACTAACACAAAAAAGTAGAGTTTAAGGTTGATTGCTATTAAAACTCACGGCAAAAAAAATCAATATTTTTATTTTTTCGTCTTGAGTTTCTTAATGGCTCAAAATGTAGCAAAATAAATTTGTTTTGAAACATCGCAACTCTACTATATTCATCAGCGGTGTATTGTTGTTTTCGGGGAAGGATGAGAATAGATAACTCAAAAAGGCGCCTATTACTTTATATTATCCTAATAAATAAAAGCCCATGTGCGCACTTATATATATGAAAGCCCTGACAAGGGATGACTATTGTATGTCCCTAGGCTTAATTTATTTAAACTATAATGTCTGGTTGAACCCAGACTGGTTAAAATCCAAACCTTAAAATTAATTTTTAAAAGAAACAAAAAAAAACACTAACAGTTTATACAATTTATTAAACAAAAATATTCAACCAAATTTTAAAAAGATGATGTAAACTCTACAAAATACAAAAACTAAAGGCAACAAAACAAAACAGACTAAACTTCAAATCGGCCTACTAATCACAGAAATACAGCACAGAAAAAATTCACCACACAGGCCCCGACATTCCCACAGAATGTTCCTCCCTGTGCCACACGACATGTTCACGAACAAACAAAAAACTTAAAATCTCGCCAAAGTACACCCACAAACTACATACTACACACAATGTGACCTACTTAGGTCTAGTAATGTTTTATTTTTAGTTTGACATTTGTTATAATACCATATATGATCTGTGGTGCAATGATCGGTTTTTTCCGCTGTCTTACTAAGAGAGTCTTAGACTCAGACATTTTCCATCGAGAGATGATTGATTGTTTCAGACCAGATGACCACCCCAACCAATGGTCTTATGATTTGAAGGTGACCATCCATGTTGCCTAGGTCTATAAATAGATCGCCCACAGGTGTCGCGAGGCAGTCTTTGGTCAGACGTCGTTGAAGAGAGATAAGCCCTGTGTGTTGTCGTGCAGTATTAAGTTATTATATTACTTGTGATTAAGTAATTCTTTATGCTTATAGCAGTGTTATGTATACAGTGGTGATTTTTCTGAAGTGTTAAAAGCTGTGATAGTGTATCATACTATTTATTCCCACGAATTGTAAGTTGGGTTTTGATCATTCTGTATATCCATTTTATTCTTGTATAAATCTAGTGTTCAGCCACGACTTTGTACACTCATTACAAGTTATATGCAGATTAAAGGTTTTGTTGGCATCATTAGTTTCTCTAGTGTTTCCCCTAGACATCAATTACGAGTCCTAGCGAACTAGTGAGTCAATTTTCTTTTATTTAGGCTTGTCGCCATCTGTGTGTAATCAGTTAAACGAATCCGGGAGCGTTCGCCATCTGTCTGGCTGATAGATTGGTGTCCGTTACAAAGTGGGGACTCGCCGGCATGTAATCTGTTGTAAGAGTTGTTGGTTTAATTATTTAAACACTAGTTTCAGTTCTAGTTAGTTGTTTCTTAACCCAGTGTGGCTGTGTAAGAGCGCCGCGCTCAAGGCTAGAGTTATCTAGGTCAGGAAGTCAGACGTGTCGCGTCCT